AGCGTACTTCACCCGTGAACTACGTCATTGAACCCCTCACGCCACCGAGCGACCGTCGTCGGCGTGGACGTGATATTGTTCACGTAAACCGTCTGAAGCCCTACTTTGACCCGCTTCTCCCCACGTGTTAGATTGCCAGGATGGCTTCAACTTTTTCGCCGGGGCTAATTGCAGTGAATAAGAAAGACGTTGATACCATCAGGTCAGCTATCATCAACACAAGAAAAAGGCACGAGATCGGCGATCAAGCACCGTCATCTGGGTCCGCCTACGTTCCTTTAGAGCTACCACCCGCTTGCTCAGTTTTTCAATAAACCCCCTTTACAGAATTAACAATGAGCCGAGGACAGAACCTTGAGGACGCCCGACTTTACATCACAACTAGGGGATGCAGCATCGAGTTGCAAACTGAGTATGGTTATCCAGTTCAAGATGCTAGGGTCAATGTTAAAAATACTAAGTTGGAGAAGTAGTAAGCGATGAGACACCTTGTCAGAAGCTTAAGCAAAATTTCGAAATACAGTGAAGAATATGGTCTTTGTCAAAAGTAGAGGAAAGTTTATGGTTAAACAATACTAGTGTTGTTTCGCATGAGTAGTTCTTGCAAACCCGTGCCAAAATGAATAAAACAAAGAAATTGATGTGAGGAAGGAAACGAGATTAATAAATAAGACGCGATGCTTAAGCGATCCTGCCTGCGCTCAATGTGCGATCGTCTGCTGTTGCCTGGCCAGTTTGGGCTGCGGTTCTGGCAGTTTGCACCATTCCTCTCGGTGTAACCGGGTAATGTCCCGAAGGCCGGTACCCGGGTGCAGTAGTTCTTGCGGTTCTTGCTTGGCCCAGGTTAACATTTCTCAGGCATGCTAGTCAGCAATGATGTTGCCTGCTAGCTGTGAGTGAGCCAGAACCCACACAAGCTCTACAGAAACATCAATTTAGTAACACAATATGTCAGACACCGCAAATATCTGTGCACAGAAATTTCAAAGCTTTTTTTTTTCAACTAATGCAACTGCTGTACAGTCGAGCCCCTTAATCTCTGTTCGTTGTCACAATCTCTTTCCAGCGAGAACTGAAAAATATGCAAATCTTGCAGTTACACAGCACAACTAAAATTTATTTAAGGTTGTTGGTGACCTTGTTCTGTTTTATAAAATGACATTGCTTTAAAGGAGTTTGATGGCTGACCGCTTAGTACGCTTTGCGTAGCTTCGTCATAGCCGTGGGTGCTAAAGAATGTGCGAGCGTTGTTCAAAGCATCACTAATTTCACCCAAACTTGCTTTGCAGCTTTCCTCAATCTTGTTGTCATCCTCATTTTTCTTTGCGCCCAGCAGGAGAGGTGTGTGAACACCCCTGTAACTTCATTAAGTCACAATATATGTGGTTAAAAGCACAATTCCTCTCTTTCTCTCTCCTCGAACCTCTCCGAGGCTGGCGCTGAGTTGGTTTTGGCTAGATGCTGTCACGTGGGACCACTCGCAGCTCTCGTTTCTTTACAGCCGCTCTTGATTACCAACTTTGCTTTAGAAAAACGGATTCGATGGTGTACAACGCATCTGTTTTTTGGATATGCACTTGTCCTTTAGTGCACGTTGAGCTCTGAAATACCTTTCACCCTAGAATGACCTTGCTATTGGATGCCGTCGGTGCCTGTTGCACCTTCTGATTCCAGAAGAAGTCGTGTCGACCGAAAGCATTTCATGATGCTATCTGTTAAGTTTAACGAGTTGCGACAAAAGACGCGGTTGCATAGAATCAGAATTAAGCATTTCAGGTAGCCCCGCCGCGGTGGTCTAGTGGCTAAAGTACTCGGCTGCTGACCCGCAGGTCGTGGTATCGAATCCTGGTTGCAGCGACTGCATTTCTAATGGAGGTGGAAATGTTCTAGGCCCATGTTCTTCGATTTGGGTTCACGTTAAAGAATCCGAGGTGGTAAAAATTTCCGCAGCCCTCCACTACGGCGTCTCTCAGAATCACATGGTGGTTTTGGGACATTAAACCTCACATATCAATCAATCAAACTAATCAAATCAGAATTTCAGGCAGACAATTTCCACTCGACTTTGCGATGTAAGTTCCAAGTCTATCACTATGAGTATGGGTTATGTCAAGGCTTGCTTAATTTAAAGCCTGCTTTAACACTGTAGACATGACCTACTGAGTCGTTGAGTGCGTTCATCGTTTAGGACTCTCACGTAGACGTGCAATTTCGCGTGGCGGTCTTCGTGCTATTAAATGTGCAGATTTATACCTACGACTGGAGCTCTTGTGAAGGAATCGCTTATGGTGGCATGCTAGCTCATTATTTGCTAGCTAGTTATTTCAGTGGTATAGTTTGTATGTCAGACACCTCCACAAGGCATTCCTGCAAAATATGGCTGGTGCATCTAACCACTTAACGAAATAACTACTGTCGCTCGAATGTATCAGCTATAAATTATGTGCACCAAAAAAACTATCAAGTATACCGTCTGGTGCATTATTAATGTGAAAACCTTAGATGCCTCCCCCAAACACTAATATTGGCCGTCAACAACATCACCGTCGTACGTCGGCGGCATCAATGCGAGCTGTTGCTTCTACTGACAGTCAATGTGCGTGCTATCTGCACATGTTGTATACCTTATGCAGCACTTCACAGAGCTCTCATTGGCCAACGTGACACTCGTTTAGATATTTTTATGGTGAGTTTGACAGCTGGTGTGCAAGCTCTCATAGCACTGCCTGGAAAGCAAGGGCTCTCTCCACGAAAGGGCATCTGCTATGCAACAACAAGGCAGGCGGCACCACAATCACAAAGGTAATGTAAAGGAGACTGCGCATGAGCACTGTGAAGAGAGTGTGACATGCTCTCGCTGTAATTGTTGGTTTTCAATGATAAGTAGCATCAGTTTCTGCCCAGTTATTTAACGCATGGTTTCGTAAGAATTCGTCACAGTCTGCAGTTCATAATTGGGAGAAAACTTTTTGTACCATGCTGCAATACACCGTGGGGTATAAAATGTGAAAAAAATTTTCCTTGTTTTATGCAATAAAAGATGGTGATCTTCTGGACAAGGGGAGGCGAGCAGTCCTCATGAAAAATCAGGTCCTTCATTCAACTGATTTTGCCTGCAAAAAACATTTTGAGCTCAAATGCATGTGCAAAGAATGAATAACACACTACAATGAACACGTCCTGAGAAACATGCCGCAAAGGAGGACATTGTCAAGGGACACTGTGCCAGTAAAGTTTCCTACCTGGCATACCAGACCAATGTGAGAAAACATTGCATTAAATGCCAAGCTGCTAATTGCAGTGAAGCAATTGGTTCTGCTGAGGTTTTTAATAGAGTGTAGCTACCGCTCCTCTCTAGGTATTGCATCTATTTTACTGTCTTAGTTAACCATAGTTTTGTTTCACTGCAGTCTGTGCAGCTTATGGGATGTGACGTACTCTGCTCTGGTGCCTCATGCATGCTCACATAAGCAATGACACAATGGGCAATGTTAGAAAATATATTTGTAACAGAAATTGCTTCAGTATGTGAGTAATGTGAGTCCAGCTAAACCACTGATCCTGCGAGGATGCACAGGCACTATTTTACAACTCAAGACGACACAAACCACTGCATCACAGGCCCTTACAAAAGTAAGTGTAGGTACCACAGCCTTCAGTTGTCGACACTACTTACGTAAATAACACTTTCAGTGTTGACAGAGTACACGTCTAGAATAAGGAAACAAAATTTCAATATTCAATTCAAAAATAAAAGCACAATAGAAACCAGCTTTGACTCTCCCTATGGCTTCATTGTGCTACAGAACAAAACCATCCCTCTAGTGGGGCATACATGTTGCAGGTGCCTATTATACAATGTGTATGTTGATCTTCAGGCATTTTCATGTGACTCGTGTGCGCGCATAGGTATCTGTGCATGACAGCCGTGCCTGTGGCGACAGCCTACATTCATTTCTACTTTCACAGCATGAGCAGATGATCAAAAAAACTTCGACAAAGAAAAAAAATGTCAACAAACCTATTTTATTGCCCTATATGGTTCAGCTGCGCTTTCCTTATATACACATATGGCAAGCCAGCGACACCCTGGTGCACAGTTCATACGTATTGTGCCATCTATTGCAGAAAGAGCACAGCCTTATTGATTTGCCTACCAAATTGGAGACCAGTTCATACACTTCTTACTTTTCCACTGTGGCATGTACTTCTGACGTTGGCAACATTGCAGAACTCCTCGCATGCAATCAGGTCGCCATCAGCTCACACAAAGTCGTGTAGATCAACAGCGCCTGGTGTCGCTTCATTGAAGCTGAAATGCCAAACAACACTGCACGTAAGCAAATTGTGTGAGGTCTTGGCATACGTTAGGACAGAACCACATCAGCAAGAAGTTAGGCAGTCTACAGAACATCTATCGAAATTATGGCACTTTATATGTCATGTGCTGACGTAGTTGAAGCATTAGCAAAAAGTATTCTCTTGAAGAAAAAGAAGTAATTTTGCTATCATCATTGTTCAACAACGTAAACAGCAATAGTTGCACCAATGCCTTTTGGCAAATACCCAAGTGCCCGACTTGTGAAATGAGCGGTGCTGCAATATTTTTACATCTACTTTCTCACCTAGTTTAGGAGTCTAAAAAAAGTCGCATAATACTAACATGTATTGTGGGAGTGCTTTTAAAATCTCTTCGCCGTTGAGAGAGAGCAAACACCTTGTAGTACTCAATGAATGTTCTGGAGGCGGAAATGTTGTAGGCCCGTGTGCTCAGATTTGGGTGCACGTTAAAGAACCCCAAGAAGCCGAAATTTCCGGAGCCCTCCACTACGGCGTTTTTCATAATGATATGGTGGTTTTGGGACGTTCAACCCCACAAATCAATAAATCAATGAATGTTAATCGTGGACGTTATATTTCTTCATTGCTATGAGGACTTCGTTCCTCAGGGCTTCCGTTATGGAGGGGCTCAACTGCAAATGTGCTCCTCTGTGTTCCAGCTACTGGGGTGCCTGCTACGTGCAGCCATCAAGCAAGCAAGCAAGGACCTTGAGGCAAGCAACAATGAAGCATTGCAGCAGCAGCACCAGAGAGAAAAGGGCCACAAGAAGCTTCGATTCCAGCGTGGTGATCAGTCATAAAGGCTGGCGCAGTATTGGAATAATGTAACTAATTTCCCAGCTCTTTCTACAGACTCTATGCTTGTTGCAGCCCCTGCATCTCCATGCAAGGAAATGTGGTCGGACGTTGCACGGAAGTCTGATTATGCTACCATACAATGTCACAGTGCGATATCAGTGACACCTAAGGTCACAGAAACAGACACTGCTGATGGGTACCCTTCACTGCGAATAACTGAAGTGGCAAGCACCAGGGCTCCAGCTGTGACTGTTTTCACTCAAGTAAAACGGCGCCCTGTGCGTGCTCCTGCTCTTGTCAGTGGTACAAGTGTGCACCACAAAGTGAAGAAGACTAGGCGTACTGCTGTGCCATTGTGCTCTGCTGCTTTTGAGCAGAGCCCACCTTCTGACTGTGGGCCACCCGACGCCTGCGGTGTAATATCCACGGTGAGCCCCCAGTCAGAAGGTGTGGTTTGCGCAAGAGCAGCAGTGCGGCTGACATTAGCGCTACTACACCTCGTTGTGATCCCCGTGTAGAAAAGAAGGTTAGAGTCGAAAATAAAAAAGGGCGTAGTAACAAGAAACCAGTTTCTCCTGCTCTTGTCAGTGGTGCAAGTCTGCACCACAAAGTGAAGAAGACTGGGCGTACTGCCGTGCCACTGGGCTCTGCTGCTTTTGAGCAGAGCCCAGCTTTTGACTGTGAACCACCCGACGCCTGCGGCGTAACATCAACGGTAAGCCCCCAGTCAGAAGGTGTGGTTCTGCGCAAGGACCGCAGTGCGGCTGACACCAGTACTTCCTCACCTTCTGGTGAAGACCCTGAACAGGGAGCAGAAAGCAACATCAGATATATTGTCACACAGCCATATTTGCACAGGTGGAGGAAATCTTTCTGTAGGGAGCAAATACAGCACTTATAAGGAGTTTAAAGCTAGCTTTGAAGGATGGAAAAGTAAAGGGTTCCATCCGATGCGTATTGAAAGATCAGATAAAAACTCATTGTGTATTCAGAAAGATTTAAACAAAGCAGACTTTCCGTGTGTTCGAGTCAAGTTTGTCTGTTGCCACGCGGGGTATCCAATTCCGAGGGGACAAAATATTCGGCCCAGTCGACGCTTGAACGGTACAGGTTGCAACGTTGAAGTTAAGCTTGCGCAGCGGGTTCCTCTACAGCCCTATCATGAAGTTGTAAATTTAGCGGATGTGCACAACCATGATGTAGGTCCCGAGATTTTTGTATGGTGCAATATTAATCGTGCATTAAGTTCTTCTGAAAAAGAGCAACTTCAGGACTTGATTTCTTGTAATGTGAAACCTATAGACCTAAAAGATGCCATTCTGAGAAAAACGGGAAACCACGTTACTTTTCGTGATATTACAAACTTGAAGCATAGAACAGTTCAAAAAAATGGCAGCATATCCATGGAGTGAATGGTGGAGAGTGGGGCGACGCATTCGTCCGTCCATGCATCCGTCTGTGTGACCGTCCATGCGTCTGTTTGTGCGCCCGTCCCTGCGTTCTTTCATGCATCCGCCCCTGCGTCCGTTCATGCGTCCATCCATGCATCTGTTATTGTGTCCGTTCGTTCATCTATTCAACACTCCAAGTCCCACCATCTCGCATCTTTTTATTATATATCCTCCATATAGAAGCACCGCCATCCAGCGGACATTCCAAGGACTAAACGAGAGGTGGCACACGCACACTTTCTTACGGCCTGCGCTTTGGGTCCACTTCCCACCTTTAACCACCTCGAGTTCATGGTAAATTCTAATTCACTGTATTCATGGCACTGCGACCAAACGCTCGCTAAAACTTTCGAAAACCAAGGAGGTTACGCCCAGCGAGTATAACGTAGCAACCTTTCCCTGACAGATAGGGCTCAATTTACATGCCAATGGCTGCTAATGAGAAATGAGAGACAGGAGAATTCGGCTTTTACTTTCTTACGGCTTGCGCTTCGTATCTACTTCTCATTTTTAACCACCTTGAGTTCATTCATGGTATATACAAGTTCATTGTATTCATGGCACTGCGGCTCAACGCTCGCTAAACCTTTCTAAAGCTAAGGAGGTTACACCCAGCGAGTATAATGTAGCATCCCTTTCTTGTCCGATAGTGCTCAATGTACATGCCAATGGCTGCTAATGGGGATCGCAGCGTGCACGTTGACTAAAAGCCGAATGCTCATGTCTCTCATTCCCCACTAGCAGCCATTGGCATGTACATTGAGCACTATTTTTATTGTTAAACAACGCACAGAAGAAATCTCTCACTGGCACCACCTTGGAGGTCAAGTGTTATACCTATTTCGGGTATGTGCCACTGGTGGTTACATACGAGGGACGCCCAAGCCACGCCATAAGGAGCTTTGCCCCTAAAAATTCAGGACAAAGCTCATCATGAAGCCCTTCTGATAGAAAAAATCAACGAATTGTTTTCTGAAAACTCTTGGTCGAAGGTTCATATTGAAAAGAATACAGAAAATGGTCTCTTGTACGTGTTGCTTCTATCAGAGCATATGGCCCAGTTACTCAAAAAATACCCTGAAGTGATGTTCTTTGATGGTACGTATAAAGTTAATAAAGAAGGGTATATCTTGCATTCGATTCTGTGTGAAGATAAAACAAGCCATGGGGGGCCTGTGTGTTATGCATTTGTTCAGCGGGAGACATCAGAAATATTAAAGTGTTTCCTAGAGACATTCCTTTGGTTGAATCCTGTCGTAGAGGAGAAGTGCAAAATTGTGGTAATGGACAAAGATTCAAATAAAATTAATATAATTAAGCAGCTTCTGCCCAAATGTAGAATCTTGTTGTGTTCGTGGCACATGTTAAAGTACTTACACACAAAAGTGATGCAGCATAAGTCAAACAGTCCAGATAAGAAGTATGTTAAAGATATAATTACGAAACTGATTTTTGCACATACTGTAGATATATATCAAGAGCACTTGCAGGACTTGGAAGAAGCACTTGAAGATGACAAAGCCCTCCTAGAGTACTTTTATAGAAATCGGCACAGCTGCAAGATCATGTAGGTTCATGCTTATCGTGCAAATGCATGTAGTTTAGGAAATAATACTAATACTCGAATGGAAAGCCATAATCAAAAGGTAAAAAAATTATGTAATACGTGACATGCACTTAGTAGAAGCAGTGAAAGCTCTGATAAGGTATGTGACCCATGATGCTCTCACACTCAGACATGAAGTTACAAATAATATGAGAACATGCATATGCACATTTAACGCGCAGTACCAGCTGCCCTGAAAGCACATTCTTGCAGCTAGATCAAAAAATAAAATGAAACTGTTTGATGAAAGTTGTGTGTCAAAGCGCTGGCCTAAATATGATTTTGTGCAGACCGACCAGACAGTGTCACCATAACAAACTAAGCATTTTAACCAAAAGCATGGTAAAAAGGTACAGCCAAACCTTCATAACTCAGAGGCCAGATATAAATATGCATATGCACGTCTGTTGGAACTTTCAAAGGAAGTTGCTAATGTACCAGCCCCATGTAGCGCAACTGAACTTAGCGAAATATTGAGCGAATGTGAGGACTTTTTTCAAAATCTTGTTACTTATCCTAGAAATAAGAAACGTGATTCACCACTTCCTAAAATAGCACAAAGTAATGAACAAGTTAGTGGGGAAGGAAAAGGCTCAGAAAACTCAAAAGAAATAAGTAATTCGTGGAGTGTAGACCTGAACGACTATCTATTGGCCAAGTCTGTATATGATGACACTACGAAGAAGGGCTTCACAGAAGATAAATCGGAACTGAAAGAGTATTCTGGTGAAGTTAAATCTGATTCAAGAGATGAAATAAACTTGACCAGAGCCTCGCATGATGATAAGGTATGTCAGGTTCTAGCAAAGACATCGGACACTAGCTCTTCTCGTAGTGATTTTGCACAGCAACTGACAGCGCTTAGCATACCTCTAGTTAATGCGCTCGCGGCCAACCACGTGAGAGATCTGCACATGATACGAAGCGGGGAGAAATAAGACTACGTTTGCGTGTTTTGAAAAACTCAATTTAAAGAGAAGGCATCTCTGGCAGTCATTGGTAGAACAGTGGAAGAAATTAGTGACCCCATAGCTGACGCGATTTGTGATCCAAATGATTGCAACCCGTACAAAAGAAGTTCCTCTGATTTAGTGGCCTTAGGAGGCACAGGATATCTGTCAGATGCAATCGTAAATGCAGCGCAATTTATTATATCAGTTTCCTGGTCTGTGGAATTATCAGGATGTTCTTCTTGGGGAGAGCTTAAAATTTAAGAAGCGAGACTTTATTCAAATTCTACATATTCCTGGGCATTGGGTTACAGTGACAAATTATGGGGCCCCTACAAACAGTGTTTTTTGCATGATTCGTTAGACCAGGACATTATGCCAAGTGTAGCAACTCAAGTTACGAACATAATAAGTCTAGCTTCTAACACTCTTACCATTCACGCTAAGGCAGTACAGCGTCAAGGGAACTTTCATGACTGTGGCGTTTTTGCCATTGCTAATGCATTCACCATTTCATCTGGCGTCGACCCGTGCACCGTTGCTTTTGATAAGACCTTGATGCGCAGGCATTTAATATCATGTTTTGCAGACAATGAGATGGTGCATTTACTTATTGCTACAATGCAAGTGCCCAGGGTAAAACCAAAATCATGTTGTTTTTTTGTTCCAAAGTAATATTTCATTTTTAAACCATTAAAAAAATCAGCCTTAAATTGAAACCATATAGTTCTATAGCTGCTGATTTGAGACTTTTCTATAGATACCAGCTATAGGTTATTAATATACTCTGTCATCATCATTAGCATTCTTAGTTCTTCTGCCCCACAAAGAAATTTAAAATGACATTCTTTGGTCCGTGTTATTCACTGAGATAACTTTCTGCAGGCGTTATTTATCCAGAAAATAATGCAAACCATTATACTATAAGCACCTTGCTTTTAAAAACTAAGTGGTTTGAGGAAATTAATGAATTTTGATACCTATCGGTCAATGAA